AAAGAAAGAAGGGATAGCCTTAACATACCTAAGCTGATTCTCTTGACAATCCTTCCAACACACGTCAATTGCGACAACGTGTAACGGCATATCGAAGTAAGAGAAAATTCATATGATATTCTCCTTAGAATCGCAAAATCCCTTTGCTATTATCCTATGAAATCTCGTATGTATTTTTGTAGCAATTCCGTATGATCACTTTGTGAATTTGATCACAACCTTGTAAGATACTTACTGAAGCAATCACGTTGAAAGTCTTTATGGCTTTTTGTGAATTCCATATCTTTGTGAATAATCCAAATCTTGAATTTGAGAAGTTATTCTTCAATCACTCCTTTAAAGATTGCCACCTTGCAAAGTTATTAAGAGTCATTTATGGCTTATGTATGTGGCTGCCACGTTGGGGAAATTTCCCACCCAATAGTTATCCACTTAATTAGGAATTATCTCAAATTACTTAAAATACTACTCACTTTTAACACAGTTTGTACACCTTACTATCATGGTCATGTGGTACATTGTATGGTACTAGTCCATAAATACCGGGTATTATAGTTCAGATCGTATTTTATCCCAAATTGTCAAACTTCGACGAAACTCATTTTCTTCGATTCACTTACCCTCTCACCTTCGCGAATTTACTTATCACTTGTTTGAAATAGCATAATCCTTATAATCCCAAAATAATCTCATTCCTGAACTTACGTCGATTAACTTACGACGAAACTTTAACGTACGAAAATGCAAAATGTAACATCTAACTTTCGAGCTTACATTAATTTACTTATGGCGTACTTCCACGTACGAAAATATGGGGTGTAACATCGTCATACGAACTCCTTCGAGCTATCCAAACTCAAATTGCAACACATATAATCCACTGATAGAATGAAAACTTTCCACATAAACATCATAAGGATCATACAACCTCAAAACATCCCACAGGAGATAACCCTCATGCTTAGCCACAAACTGACATCTCTCTACGCCCTAACATGGTCACAACCACTATGCACTCGCTAAATCCCCTCGAGTGTGAACTCATCAACAAGGCATAAGAATCTACTTCATTCCACAAGTAAAAACTGAAAGATCCCTAACATACTCATAACTCAAAGACTGTACAACACATCAAGGCAGAAATCAAGTGTCCATAGTCCTTCACATCCCGAGCAAGATCTTTTGGTCACATCCAAACCATCTAAGCATATTTTGTCGTCACATAACACTCATCATATAGCTATCCAACCACTCACTGAGCCATCAATCTCACTCCTAGGGCACTATCAGACACACAAGTCCAAAAGCACATACTCACATAACTGAAAGCACCGAGCCCACGATATGGTTTAAACCTGACCTTAAGTCTTACGGATTGGCCTATCTCCATAACACGGGGAACACATCTCGCACCTTATCCATGATATTACAAGACATCAACGCACAACTGATACCGAGTGCTCACATAACATATGAGTGGATAGAAAGAAATCAAAGATATTCACTTCAAGCTGAATCAGTGCCACCCGATAAGGAAAGCGATGGGAAATTTTCCTACATGCCCTGTAGCCTCTCGAAGATAAGTATGGACGTTATCATACCGATCCACAAGACTCTACTAGACACTTGCTAATGACTTATAAAACCTATGAACCTAGAGCTCTGATACTAATGTGTCACGACCCAAAATCCACCTAGTTGTGATGGCACCTAACCCAACCTGCTAGGTAAGCCAATTAACAGTCAACACAACTCAAATGAAAATAATAAGAAATTAATAAGTGAAATAACTGAATTCTTTTACAATAACCCAAGAATTGGTAGTACAAGTCATGAGCCATTAAGATTTAGATTTACAAAGTTGGTATAAGAATAAATACAACATCTGTTTGGAATGTACATAAACAAAATTCAATTCTAAAACTACCAAAGACAAATGGTATCTATATCCAGAAAGGAGGTACATCTTAAGTGCCAGCTGCTGTCATCCACATCATCTCAGCTCCAAGATCTGCAAGCAAGGTGCAAAAGTGTATTATGAGTACAACTGACTCATGTACTCAGCAAGTATCGTAACTAACCTCAGCGAGGTTATAGAAGCAAGAATTGTAAATGATACTCGCAAATCACATATACATGCTCATAAATTCCAACAAGTATAGAGCAAAAATATGATCAAATCATGAAATCACAAATAAAATCACCTTGATGCTCACAATTTTCTTAATGTATTTCGCTCAGTCGACAGTCCAACATATAAGAAAGATATGCAATTACATAGGCAACAGTCATAGGAAATTGCAAATAAAGATGAAATGCAATAACTAAATATCAATCCGTTGCGGCGCGCAACCCGATCCCAAATAGAAATCACATCACAGCTCTAAGGCCACATCATAATCTCATTAACCGAACCAAACCAATGATCAGCTCTCCCAAAGCCCACATCAACCAGAAACCGTTGGTTTCTTACAATCTACGTGTACACTATCAAGAAGATACATGAGAGGTTAACCCTAGAAGGGTGGATCCATATCACACGCAGCACGGACAACTCGTGTGCTATCACAATCCACCGGCATGGTCACAGGATACCAGTCTAATTCACATCATACAAAAGCAGATATACAAGAATATATGTACTTGATCAAATAGCATCAAATTTCATATTCCTGGACTGGTATAAGTGACATGCTAAAGTATATGCATGTGCAAAGTGTGCTATCATAGCTCAAATAAGGTAAATACATCACAAAAGTAGCAATTATCAGGTTCAATCAGCATATCAACCTCTATGTAACCTCAAACATGGCTCAAATAGCTCACAACAAGGATACAAATTTAAGAGCCATTAGAGCATGAAGCTTAGCAATCAATCCAAGGCGTATCGTAGCCTAAATACTACCCCGAGCATGGAAAATACCCCAATACACGCACATGGGATCAACCCCACACATATGCGCCACCCATAGCACGTAGTTATCACAAATAGCTCAGGAAACTAGAGCCTTAACCAAGCTTAGGTAAGATACTTACCTCAAGCATGCCAAATCAATACTCTAGAAGCGCCATCCCGCCTGAATCGACCTTCAAATGGCTCGAAACTAGCCAAAAGTAACTCAAAAATATCAAATAATGCTATAGGAATCAAACACAAACGATAAAGGTCGAATCTTTAATCAAATACTCAAAGTCAACTAAAAGGTCAATCCGGGCCCGCACCCCAAAAACCGATAAAAACAAACAAATTCTGATAACCTATTAGAATACAAGTCCAACCATACTAGTTTTACTTAAATCCGATTCCGAATCAATGTTTAAATCTCAAATATTCACTTTAGAAAAGTATTAACAAAAGCTCCCAATTTCTCTTTTAGATTCATCAATAAAATGCCAAAATAAAAGGTCGAATCATGTAAAATAATCAAATTCGAGTCAAAAATATTTACCCAAATACAAAATGGTAAAAATCCCCTCCTAAATCGCCTAAATACGAGCTCCCAAACTCAAAATATGATGAAATAAATCAAAGTCCGAAATAGAGTACTTATATGCATTGCCCAGGTAATCCGTTCGCGACCGCGGAACCCACTTTGCGATCGCGAAGAACAAAGATGAACACTGCCAGAATGCAGTTCGCGTTCACGTCACTGACATCGTGAATGCGATGACCACAAGCACCAGAACTCCGCGAACACGCCAATTCCCACACGAACGCGTCAATTCCCATGTGAACGTGATGGCAGACATCCCCAGCTCCCATGCTAAAACGCGATAACGTACTTACTTCTGCAAATGCTATGGTCAAACATCTCAAACTTCCACTAACATGGTATGCCCTACATGAATGCATTGAATAAAACATCAGCATCTCCCAGAACACTACGAGATCACAGTCCTCTTCTCACGATCGCGATCAACACCCCTAGCATCAGAAAAAACCAACATCTCATGCAAACTCCGAAATGTTCCAAAATTAATCTGAACACACCCAAGCCTCTCGGGACCCCGTCCGAACATGCCAATAAGTCCCAAAATATAATACGGACTTTTCAAAACCTCAAATCACACATAACAACTTCAAAACCACGAATCAAGCTTCAAATCAAGCTTAATAAGGTATTTCAAATTTCCAAATTCCAAACTTATGTCGAACACATCTAAACAACTAGGAATCACCTCAAATTTTGTAAAAAAGTTCCAAATAACACAACGAATATATTCCAACTTATGGAACAACAATCCGAGTCTGATAACATCGAAGTCAATTCCCGGTCAAACTCATGAACTTTCCAAATCTTCAAATTGGCAACTCTCGTCAAATGGTGCCAAAACTTTTTAGAAAATATCCAAATGCAAACCCGGACATACGCCCAAGTCCAAAATCACTATCTTGACCTAAAAGAACCATAAAAACTCTAATTCGAGATTAAATTCACAAAAGTCAAACTTGGTCAACGCTTCCACCTTAAAACTTCTAAAATGAGAATCATTCTTCCAAATAAATTCCGAACCACTCAAAAATCAAAACCGACGATACACACAAGTCATAATATACCATATGAAGCTTCTCATAACCTTAAACTACCGAACTATATGCAAATACTTAAAATGACCGGTCGAGTCGTTATACAAAGACGATAATTTCCTTCGAAAAATAGCTGCATGCTAAAATATTTCCAAAATATATAAAAATAAAAAAGAATTTCCAGGTAAGGAACAACGAGAATCGACATAGGCGTGGTTTTAAGAAAACATGGTATATAATGTAAACTTGTAAAATCCACCAGAAATGATTACAGAAAACCCAAAATCAAGAATAAAAAAATAGAAAAAGCAGATTGAACTCTCCAGAAGCAACCAAAGAGCCATGGTCCCCATCATCAATTGTCAATACATTCCATTTACCAGGAAAATCAGTAATAATGAGATGATAAAATAACTTTGACTATTCCTCTTAGGTATTGCCAAGCCCTGTACTAGATTCTCTTTTAGTCCAGATGATACAGAGAAAGGATAATAACTTAACACAAAGGAAACAAAAGAGGGAGATTGAGGAGATTGAGAAGGTAGAAAAGATGGGAAATGTGGCAGTTTAAAATGCAGGTTTAANATATATATAATGTTTCATTCCTACTTGAACTGTCCGATTTTTGCTTTGACGATATATTCAACTATATTATGAAGTGATACTTAATCTAACTTTTGCTAAGTTTAGGAGTATCAAGGGAACATAACGGTTTTGATGAATCTTTATCACATTACTATTAACAAGTAAAAGAGTTTGACGAGTGCTTTTTATTTTTTTATTCTAACATTTTCTTTCTGGTTGCATGTAAATATTAAATAAAATAAATAGGTTATGATTAATGTTCACGTCATTATTTCTTTCATATTGCAGAAGCTCAGAAATGACAAACTAAGAATGATTTTATTGGCCGAGAAAAGCCTATCAGAGACACAGATCGAAGAAATGGTGAATTTATTTCTAGAAGATGTGAAAAATGGGACATGGGAAACCAAAGGTTGGCCAGAGTTATGGACAGACTATGCCGTGTCAAAGCTTGCATTGAATGCATACTCTAAGGTCTTGGCCAGGGATTATACAGGAAAGGGAATAAGTGTGAATTGTTATTGCCCTGGATTTACACAGACTGCTATGACTGGTGGCAAGGGCAAGTACACGGCAGAATGCGCTGCCGAGATCGGAGTAAGGCTGGTTTTGTTACCACCAGAAGAGCTTCCAACAGGGAAGTTTTATTTAGGGGCTAATCCCCCAAACCTTTATTCCAAGATTTAAGAGTATTATCTAGTTTACTAATAACAATCCAAGACTCCTTGGGTGAAGTTTTATGATATGTTATTATGAATTTTTTTAAAGTTTAGTGTCTTGAAGAGTTGGACAAATTGGGCCAAGATATTTATATGGTTGAGTTGGCGTATTGTTGAATGGTTTACATGATTAAGGTCACCTTTTTTATCATCTTGATTTCTTTTAGTTTAGCTAATTTGAACTAATATCTTACCACTCTTGTGATCTGCCGTAACCCCTATCAAATGGGCATGCTATGTCCACATCGCCACGCCTAGTTTCTAGGCATCAAACTCGTACATCTTAATACTCTTTCAGTCATCTATTGATAATTCCCAGAATAATTTTGGTTACAAAATTTCCTCCTTAATCCTCAACCATTGTAATCATATCACGTCATTCATGGTCTTAGTATCTGTATTCAATTTATGGCACTCATGGCCTCTTTACATATATCTCTTTCATTATTATACTGTAACGACTTGGCAGGTCGTTTTATGTATTTGAACCTTGTTTTCCCATTTAATTCTTCTATGTGCTTAGTTATTATTTTGTGACTTGCGGGGATATTTAGTTTGATTCCGGGAAGGTTTTGGAGTTAGTTGGAATACTTAGTTCCATTGTTGGACGCTTAAGTTATAAGAGTTGACCAATGTTTGACTTTTATGTTAACGACACCGGATTCATATTTTGATGGTTCCAATATGTTTGTATAGCAATTTTGAACTTAGGTGTATGCCCAGGTTTGGATTCAGAGGTTTTTAGGATTATTTGACTCTTTTATCCGAAAGTTGGCAATTTGAAAGTTTAAAATTTTCATAAGTTTGACCATGGGTTGACTCTGTGGCTATCGGGTTCGAATTATTGTTTCGAGGCTTGGAATATGTCACGCCCCGAACTTGGGGAGCACGACCGGCGCTCAACCGAGTGTACTTGGTCAAGCAAGCTTGTTAGATACTTTCTACCCAAACTCACTTATGAATAAAGAGAATACATATTTTCGTTAATTAGACAATAAGGAGATCATGTATACAATACAAATTCATTACCATTAGTTATTTTATTTTAAAGTCTCAAATTACACATATTTTCATGGTCTGAAGTGGAACAAGTAATTCAAACACAGCATAACCTGTTTGATTTTCCCAACACTAATATACAACCCACACTATGTCTACAGAGCCTCTAATAGATACAAAAGAGTACTATGATAGTGCCGGCAACAAGGCCCCGACTATACCTCAAACACAATACACAAGGAACAAAAGATACATGACCCTGCAATGAAGTGGGGCTCACCAAGTCAGCTGGGAAGAGGGTGTACTGCTATCACTGATCAATGTCTCCTGCTGTGGAACCACCTGCATCCATTGAAGATGCAGCGCCCCCGCAAAAAGGGACGTTAGTACATATGAAATAGTACTAGTATGAATGACAAAACACCATCTTAATAGAATGAATAATAATAGAAGCAAGAACAAACATAATATCAGTAGAAGCCTCAAAAAACATCAAACCTCAAGTTAGGACCAAGACAGTGTTCAAATAAATTTCCATATCTTAAGTTTAGAGATTTTTAGTACCAATATGCCACCGTTCACAATACTACCTGTAACACCCCGAAATATTTCGAAGTAATTAAGCGCTATTAAGAAAGTTGATGTGCGATAATTGTATTATTTTGTGTGTAGACAAGGACTATTATATGAATTATATCAATTGATTATGATAATATATGTATGAGATGCATTACGAAAGGTTTATGGTGTAATACCCCGGAAAATTTCGAAGTACTTAAACGCTATTAAGAAAGTTGATGTGCGCTAATTATATTATTTTATGTGTAGACAAGGACTATTATATGAATGATATCAATCGATCATTATAATATATGTATGATGTGCATTAAGAATGGTTTATGGTCTAAGAAGAGCCCCAAGGCTAAATCAAGTTAAAAATTTTATGATGGGATAATGTTTCTAGTGAGTTCGCACAAGATCCTACTTCAAATGCATGCTTCTACCATAATATAATTACTTAGGAGATGATTTACTTATCAAATTAAAGACCTTTGAGTCTAGTTTCCAACGCTTTAAACCGTTCATCATTTGAACACTCCTACAAGAAGTTATGACCATATTACCAAAGGCCGGAAAAATGCGCTGCGACCAATTTTGCGATCGCAGAATAATTATGTGATCGCGAAAGTGCTTCTGCGGCCGCAAAACTGGTCGTAAAATGGACCAGTACAGCCCAGGTTTTGGCACCAATTTTGCAGTGCATTTTGCAACTCGCATAGCCATTCTGCGGTCCATTATACGACCGCATACCTGATTTCGGAGGGTTAATTTTTTTATTTTCATAACCCGACCCCATTTTGATAAATAGGCTTTGGGGCTTATTTTGGGGCAATTATCTGAGGTTTTTTATTTAGAGAGAAGTGAGAGTGTTCTAGAGAGAGAAAGTAGATGAAGTGTTTATTCATCAAGATCTTGTCCAAGCTTTGAAATCCAATAAGGAAATCTCAGAAGTTCTTCATCTAAGAGGTAAGGTTCCATACCCTAGTTTTTAATTTCGAATTTGGGTAGAAGATGGTTGATTAGGAGTATGATTCTTGGGTATGAGAGTATTATTTATACATGTATTTGCCAATAAGGTTTGTGGAAAGATTGTTGAGCTCAAATAAGTAAATATTGGGTTGTGGAGTGAAGAAAATCTTGTAGAAGAACCTTGTAGTTAAATTTGCACACATAGTGTTTGATAAAATGTTCAAATGAGCTGAGACCATGAATATCTTCCTAATTATGGTTCAATTTTATTATGTCTCAAAATAGATTGAGATTGGTAGAATTTTCGGAACATTGTAGTAATTTAAGAAAAGCTCAAAGTGAGGTATGTTGGCTAAACTTCCTTCTTAGAATTGAATTCAATGACGGTCCCGTAAGTTTCAAGTATGGATGTATCAAGTTCCTTATTCTATGTTCCGGGTTGTTCCCAATAAATTCGAATGTCCCGAATAAGCAAAGTGTCGAGAATTATGTATTCAAAACGTGTTTGCGAATGTTCCCATCACATTATGTTAAATTTTGGGAATGTGTTCAAGAATGATATGTGTATTAAAATGCTATGTCTTTGAGTGATGCTTCAAATGAAGGTTATGATGTCAAATTGCATGAGAAAACTCAATATACTTAAGACTCTTAATTGCTCATATTGATACTTAAACTCAATATACTTATTATTGATAACCTATAAAGATGGTTGGAAGTGAAATAAGTAAATCGGGGATATAAAGTGTGGCCAACGTGCCAAGAGTAAAAGTTATACTTGTGGCCAATGGTGCCAATGAAATGAGATGATATGAGAAAGATTATGAAATAAGCTTTGATTCAACTATTCTAAAATTGACTTTCAAAATAGAATTGCCTAAAAACTTATGAACTCATGTGATGCCCATATGTGGCTGTTTTAGCTAATGATATGTTTAGTGAGTATTTTCAATGTGTTTTGCATTCTTACATATTCGTGAGTGGAAATTGTATATTGTCCTTTGTGGGAAGAAGTATTTCAAGAATAAATGATGTGTTACTTGTTTATGATTTTAACTTGTGCTTCGATTGCCAATCATTTTACTTCATTTCTTGGAAAGAAATCCATTGTGTTTAAAGTCTTCATTACTAATGAACCGAAAGTTGTGATTTCCAAAATATTGTATATGTTGATATTTATGATGATGATCCATGAAAGGAAAGATATGAAAGTGTGGAATATGATATACGGCCATTGTGCCATGAAAGAAAAATCATATGTATGGCCAAGAGAGCCAATAAAATAATAATATTGTAAGTGGTTGAAAGTACAGATTATGTGATATATGGTGTGAAAGGTTATGAGATGTACGTATTTGTACTTTGGTTTCCAATGTGTTATAAGCCCCTACGTTCTTGCGAGTAAAGACTATGATGTTCCTAAATGTTCTAAATGCTCTTAATGCTATATGATCACCTATGGCAAGTACAAGTAAGTGATAGTATGAATATGAAATGTGGTCGTTGTCTAAATGAGAATTATGAAGTGTTGTATGTCCCAATGGTTTCAACTATAGTTGAATGCTTCTGAAATAATGTATGTAAATGACTTCGATTGTTAAGTCTCCAAGAGTCATGAACCTAGATAATAACCTCAATAGGTCAAGGGAGTGAATAATGAGATGGAAGGGAGATGTTCTTTGTTAAATGATGATGAACCTTAAGAAAAGGAATTGGGCCCACATGCTATTGAAATCGACTTATTGATTTACCATGCATGTGCTAATGTAATGAGTTGTGTTTCTCCATGATGAGCATGAACATGAAGTATTCCAATGATATGAGTAATTACGACCTTAAATGTAATGACAAACTATGTCTCTTTGAGTTTATATATGGTATTGTGATTGGGATTACACCTCCACCCGCATATATTGGGGTGAGGTGGCAAGGCCACTTTGTGTAGGGATTGTGATATTGTGATACACCTCCACCTACATACATTGGGGTGAGGCGGCAAAGCCGCTTTGTGTAGAGTTTTGGTATTGTGGAATACACCTCCACCTGCATACATTGGGGTAAGGCGGCAAGGCCGCTTTGTGTAGAGTTTTGGTATTGTGTAATACACCTCCACCCACATATATTGGGATGAGGCGGTATGACCGATTTGTGCAAGGATTGCGGTATTGTGATACACCTCCACCCACATATATTGGGGTGAGGCTGTAGGACCGCTTTGTGTAGGGATTGTGGTATTGTGGAATACACCTCCACCTGCATATATTGGGGTGAGACGGCATGACCGCTTTGTGTAGGGATTGTGGTATGGTGATACACCTCCACCCGTATATATTGGGGTGAGGCGGCAGGGCCGCTTCGTGTAGAGATTGTGGTATCGTGATACACCTCCACCCGCATATGTTGGGGTGAGGCGGTAGGGCCGCTTTGTGTGAGGGTGGTTATAAAGGATCCCCGACTTAATATCTATAAATTCGAGTGGAAGCTCTTAATAAATTTGCTTGACGTTAACGGCGATCTAAGCCCATTTATTGTTACCATGATTCATCATATTCATGTTATGTTTCTAAGCCATTGAATATGTGTATTTGTATTATGTAAGTGAA